CAAAGGAGGGTGGTAGGCAAAGCAACTGTATCATAACCAAAATGCTGAGTTCTATTATCTACTGCACCACACGTACACACATACTGCATCAATGGCCTCAATTCATAACAGCAATCACAATGATGATACATAAAATCTACAGAAAAAGCATGCATTACTCACTGGGTTTTATTCTTTAGCTTCTTCAGCACGTAATTCTTTACGCTTTACAATGTAGTAGGTATGAAATGAAACATTTTCCCTTTATTCCACTGATGCCGCTGTTTGAATACCATTAGATACCAAGGACAATAGGCAGGATCAGCTCGAACATTAAGAGCAAATATTTAATGGAAGACTGGTTACCCCCGTCTCTCCCTTTCACATCTCTGCCTCATGTATCCAGGCACGGGTGGTACTGGCTCCCTTGAGAGGCTGTAGCTAGCAGCTGAGGCACAAACTAAAACATGGCATGGATGTCAAGGAGCTGATGTCACAAAAACAAGTATTTCTCTGATAAAACCGGCAATTCCATTAGGGAAGTCCTACAAATCGATAGAAATTGTTCAGCTGAACATGCTTTGTTATACAATGCACTGCAGCACCAAGAGTGATAAATCAGATCAAGATCTGCCAGTGTAAATAAGCTGAGACTACAATAACTAAGTTATAAAACTGCCAATCAGATACCGTGCTTTGTATCAGGGTATCAGGAAGGCTATCACTTATGAGCACAGAGGAGAAATACACACCTCAACATTTCAGAAACAACCTTCTTTAATATCAATTCCAAAAGAATAGCTCATCTGCTAAAAAACTATAAGTATTTTTAAAGACAAGAGACTGGCCTAAAAGTCTGCCATCTTTATCAGGAAACATTGTGATAAAGTATCCAAGGCTCCAGTCCAGCAGATGCTAGAAACGCCTACCAGGGGTCACACTCAATATCTGGGAAGAAATGCAAGATGTTTTAGAAATCCTGCCACCTCACCCACATAGCAGCACTGCCATTCCCATCTGTGGGGATGGGTTAACTGTCTTGCTGAAGGTAAAAGGTTCTGTTTCTACAAAAGCAATGCTACATTTATAATGGGAGCTGGGTCTGGCAGGGAGAAGAGAAAGTGCAAAAATTCAGGAGCAAAAGGAGTACAGAGACAATGCAAGTTAAGATGCTGGGGACTGTGCAAATTCTATCTTACAGACAGCATCACATCAATATAAGGTAGGTTCTTCAAGCACAAAAAGAACTTTTCTTAAGGCATGCAAATAGAACTGAAATATTAGTCAGATTGTTTATTCCAGTAATGGATTACATGCATTTATTTCAAGCTTTGCTGGCTGGTACAATCTCAAAACCCTATCAATTTCACAAATGTCCAGGACAGCCTGCAACCCTATTACTAGATTTCAACATAAATGCAAAACATTCAGGATGTATTTCTGCACTCTTCCTCCAAAGCATTATTGTTTTCAAGGAACTGGAAAGAAAAACCTATAATTCTACAGAAATCCACCACAAAATACTTGCAATTCAGATCACATACTATTAGAAATAGTCACTCTATGACCTAATATGAACAAGTCTGAGCAATACATTGCAAATGAAATTATTTTGCAATTGAATAGTTTTGTTTAAAAATTCCATTTCAAACTGTCCACAGTTCTGTAACAAACTAGAAGTCCACACTTAGAGACTGCTAATTTAAGTAGAAGCCCATTTTGGACAGAGCAATTAGTTAACTGTCTATTTGTCTCTGGAAATAACTTGAGGCAAACTCACAAGTTCCACAAGCTCCTTTATAGTGTAAACATGATGCTCTAGAAAACTGCACATGTGATATCCTCATTTTTTAAAAGGATTTCCTATGAACATAACTATGGTGATAAAGCCAAGTAAAAAAAGAATTTGAAACATAGCAAATATTTTCTGAACAAAGGACAATATTTTAGTCCTGTCAAAATAAAGAGTCCTCTCAAACTGTATATCACCAATATCAATAATATTTCCATACAGTCTAAGTGCAATGCAGATATTTGTTGTATACCTTTAGCCAACAACCAATAACACTGAACGCATTAGTTTATGCTAAATTAGCACCGATCCAATTTAATACGTCTGTTGTAAAACAATTTGAAAGTAATTACAACTAGGCCACAATACCAGATTTCCATGCAGGCCCCATGGATGCAAAGAGGCAATATGCACTGAATTAATTCATTAAATTATGAGAAACCTGACCACAAATCACTTACCAAGCACATCCTACTAAACAAGACTTTTTAAACAATCAAAGTATGATTCAAAATGACCTGTAAAACCACGTAAGGAGAAATACCCTACAGACAGAATAACCAGGTCAACTGAGTCACATTAATCTATGTGCTTCTGTAGTTCATCTCATGGCTTGAGATAACTAAAGCATCTAACAAATTAACACAAAAAACTTTTATACTAAAATATCCACACTTTTAATGAGATCATTAAACTGCAGTGAACTTTATCATGCCACATTATTTGCACAGATACTCCTTTAAGAAACAGCCTTTTCTCTCCTCCAGTTAGCTTACTCTTCTTGACAGTATTTCACATAAATTTGCTTTGTATTTTCACAAACAAGGGCAAATAATTCTATTTGGGACTATCACCAGTCTAGGTTGGTACAACATGAGTATTTCCTCCTTCCCTCTTTAAAGAGCTATGAGAATGGAAGCAGAGCTAGAGTCGGCTCGTTCTTTCGGTTCTTGTATTGGGAAAGCAGAGCAGCACGGATGCCCATATGAGCTCACTCCACACAGTTTTCATCCAACAAGTTAGAAAAAGAAAACAAATAGGTTTCAGCATGTTGTGAAATACTCTCAAAATACTGTAGGGATGCCAGACTTGGTTGTTCCATTGTTAGTTGCAGAATTAAGGGGGGAGCTACCCCAAAGTTAGAAACTTAAATGAAGTCAACTGTTCTGTCTTCACTGAAAGACAGCTGTTTCACAGAACACGGTCTGAAGACCTATGATCAAGTATTAACACTTCTTTATCTTTGGCATCAAAATCTGCCTTGGTAGAACATTACAAGCATTCTAAGGCTAGCTAATCGCTAAGTTTCATCACTTCCCTTTTACTGTAATTCTCACAAAAGACAAAGGCACACAAGACACTGAACTACCCAAACATCCCAAAACATCATTACCAAAGTAAGATTTGGGAAAAGTAACAAGACACAGGGAAAAACATAACTTCTACTGTTGCTAAGATCATTTTCTGTAGATACAGAAGTTCAATTTTTGCCTGCTGATGCAAAACCTGACACTGTTCCAGGGAAGAGATTCAGCTTAGGACATAACACCTTCTGTAACTCAGGTCCCAGAAAAAAGCAGTGTTCCTTGTATACAATTCACATCAAGAACACATTTAAATCTACAGAACTAAGACCTCTCTTTCCAAAATGATCATGAAACTTGAGCCTGAAAAAATTTTCCCATAGATATTTTCAATCTGTTAAGCTAACCTGGAAAGCGACAGCATAGCAAAACCTATGTATTTTCAACATATAGTAAAATATAACTACACAGTCCTCACTTGAATTTTAACTCATGGACAAACAAGTATTGAAATTAAGTCTTACTTGCTTGCACATGCAGTAGAAGTACACTACATGATACAGCAAGATGGACTGGTTGCCCATTTCCTTGTTGAAACTTGAGCAAAGTTAATAAGAAACCCACTGAGCTACTACTCTGATAGATACAAGGAAGTACACAAACAAGAACATGGCATGAAAACAATCAAGATATATGGAAAATAATATATTGCAAACAGCTACACAAATTCTTGCTTGGCTCACCCTAAAAATAAACTGGGAAGACCACATAGATATCATCATCTTCCTTCTGGGAAAAAATGAAGTGTCTCAAGGAAAATAATTTCTTTAAGAGTTCTAATCAGTGTAGAAAACAGTCTTTTTTTCCTCTAATTGGCTGAACAAGGACAGCAGATAGCATTGCACATTTACTCTCCTTTCTTTCTATAAGACAACTTTAATAACCTAGTCACAATGGAAAAACTTTTCTGCTTTTTACATTTAACCTTTCACCTACGGTAGTTTAAATGTAAAAAATCATATTTAAACTGTAATATTTTATTTATTCCACCTCACTCCATCTTCTAAATTTCAGTAGAAGTTCTCAGTAGAACAATTATTAGTATATTAGTATTATTTCTCTAATTAAAAACACTATTCACAACTATTGACCACTGCATTACACATTTTTTAGGCAGTCTGTCAGTGTAGATCCCAATCAACTAAGTAGTCTTCTCCTAGTATGCATTACTTGCTTTTATCAGCAATTAATTTTATCTGCTCTTCTATCTTCCAAAGAGAAAAGCAAACGTCCTTCAGTTAGCTTTTACTCATACTACTGTGACTAGCCAAGCATCATCTGGTAACTCTGTCACCCAAATATTCACATTCCTTTCCTTAACATTTACAAAGATATGAACTGATGTACTGATGACAGCCCTCCATGATGAAAACTGACTCTATACCTATTTAATCATTCTATCCCCGTGCAGTTTAAGTTACTGAAATACAGATAAACCATATCAATCACGTATCCTTCCTCTGGGGGTTTATCTACCTTTCACAGATGTTTTTTAGAGATTAATAGCCTTTTTATGAAAAAGGCTGTATCTCCCCATTCTTCAGTACATCACTTCTTTTCCCTGCAAGTTAAGAAACCAAAAGAACTACAAAAGCAAAGGACCACATTCAAATATGCATCTAAAATCCTGATCTCTTTTTCTCCCGGTATATCAGTATTAATCCTCAGAAACATTAGAACATTACTACAATGTTGATCTACATAATTTCTCTGTTGATAAAATATTAAGCATTTTACATTCTACCAAGAAACAACAGAACAGATATACATGTACTTAACACTAGATTATGAAAATCTTTCAATATATTTCTTTTCCATGTGACTGAAAAAATTAAGTTAAAAAATGATAACATTTTAGTACTCACTGTCTTCTCCTGGACAAGGCATGCCAGGTTTCTCTGGAATACTTGGGAAAACTAAAACAAAAACATTAGATGTTTTAAGTGAAAAGATTCTCAGTAGTACTTTTTCCTTGATTCTTGGGTATATTTACACAAAGACAGTTTCTGAAAGCCTTTAAATAATTCTGCGTGAGAAATGACAAAATCAAAATTTGGTTCCATACTGGCAAGATCTTAATACTTCACTACAGCATCAACAAATCTGTGCAGTATAGAACTTGAGGTTCTCTCAAAGCCTACTATATAGTTTCAGCTTTGCGCTCCACATCCAAAAGAACATTTCCTTCTTAAAACATCAAACTATAGGGCATCAGCTACATAAAGAAGAACGTTATCTTACAGGCAAAGGAACTGTTCCAATCTCACATTTAAGCAGCTGTTAGGATTATCAATAAATGCATACAGGTTCTTGACCTATGTAATACTTGCCATGAATAATCAGCCCTTCATCTCTGTTTTGACAATACAAACGGAAGGCTTCTTCCAGTTCCATTTGAGATGAGATGGTACATGGGTCACCTAATGAAAAAGCAACACAGGCAAATTTACGAGTGAAGAATCGAGTGAAGAATTTAAATTAGTCAGTAAGAAATGTACTAGCCTCCAGGATTGCTTTTCTTTCAATCATTTGATATTAAGCTGATATTTTGGCTTTGATAAAAATGCATCAACTTAATTTTTTTTTTCCTTCCGATTTTATCAAAACTGAGTAGATAAAAATATACCACATTGGTTTGCAAGGAGACAACAAAAGTGAATACATATGCTTAAAGATCTTTAACACTCAGCAAAAAAGAGGCAAGATCACTTCCTAGTAACCTGAAAATTTAAGTTTAATTCAAAATTAATTTACGCTTTGTTAAAAGGCCCATTCTCTTACTACCTTAACTTCCTTTACTGCAGAACCATGATATGATAACTTAAAAGTTACAAAGGTTGTCATCACAGATAATGTCCACGTATTTGGAACATTTATCTTTTTGTAAAAGAAAAACGCACAAGTCGTCTTTAAGTTTAACAACTCCTTTAAGCACTTTGCTGCAAGACAACTAGCTAACCTCTGCGAGGTACAGAAGTTTCATGGTCACTCCCCAACTTAGTAATAAGTATTGTAAACACTGTGCTACCTAAAGTTCTTGGTTTTATGAAATTAATTACATTGATGACATCCTGTAGCACTCCATGCACTTCTGGCTCCAACTCTTTGCTGCAATAGCTTGCCTATGAACGATGCAGTGGATGAGTTTCCTGTGCAGTGCTCCCTGCAACCTTCCCCCAGAATCCTTTTTTTTTTTTTAATTCCAGTCAAATCAGCCTCCCTGTCAGTGAAGACTTCCACAGTTTTTTTCATAACACATTGTTTTTATTAAAGTCATTTACTGTTGAGATTGTATCTTTTCTAGTGCATCTTTCTTTCCTTCAGTGATGCACAAAACCCTACATCTTCACATCTCACTATTGAAACAGAATCTAGCAAATACCATAAGCTGAGACATGTTAGAAACATCTGTACTTTTATTCAACCATATAGCAAATTTCCCACACTGCACAGGCTGTTTTAATACTTGTTTCTTCAAACCTTCAGCAATATCTTCTATGCATCTTCCAACAGTATCTTCTGACAAAGGAATGCGTTTCAGTTTGTCACCATTTTGTTTTCTGTATATTATTCCAGCCATTTTTACCATGACAGGAAGAACAAATGTTTCCCCAATGGTATGCAGCTTTTTGCCTTCTGCTATTAAGTAAGAAGCCTCAAAACTGGCTTCTAAAAATTTAACAAAGTTTAGTGAAGTTTTGTAGAGTACCAAACTGAGTATCACAAGATTTAAAACATCAGTGAAAAGAGGTAGACATTTGTCTTGTTCTGGATACTTAGTTTTTAAACGTCTTGCTAATCACGACGGCTTCATACTATCGTTATCTATTACGTCAAAACACAACATACACTTAGGGTGAGGTTCATCATTAAAAATACATATTTGAAATATGTATATATATTGTGTATATATATATGTGTATACATCATTTGAAATACATATCTCAAATACCGGTCTTGGTAATTTTGAATCTTTTTGACTGACTTCTTGTCAGATCTGATTAGATAGTCATTATGTTTACCCTGTAGTGTGGCTGATAGTTCATACTTAAGAGTAGGAGAAATGTCAGCTCCACCATTTCCTTGTTGTCTGCTCGTGCTCACATTATTAGCATTACCTATGAGAGTTATTTTAGTTAAAACTAGATAATTAATCCATAAATCCACTTAACCAGACACACGTAAACTGCAGTACGTCACAATACACTGAAAGCGACCAAAGAGCAAGGGTATCACTCTCAACCCCTGCAACTTTGTGGAACACCCACTCTTCCCACAGCACACCTTGTCCACCATGTGACACATGACCATATGATATACGGGCTAAGTGATGACACCAGTGTCAAGCCACATATTAAATCAAGTAAAGCTTAATTTCTTATTTTAAAAATCTTATTTTTTTAAAAAGATGCACACCAGGGTGCATCTAGCCCTCTTTGAAGGCCACTGCTTTTGATGATCTATAAATACTGCAACAATGCAACATGAGAGACAAAAGTATTTGTACTGCAAATCAGCAATCCATTTTCCTTATATGTTCATGGAATTTTATCACGAGTGAGTTATAGTTCAAACATTTTGGATCTTGTCAAAACCAGAGAAACACTAAAAAAGCCCACCAGAAAATTCATTTTCTTCAGCTCTTTGGTAGGTTTTCTTTATTCATTAAGCCATCAGCAATTGTTTGCTTTAAGTTAGTTCAAAGAGAACATCTGTTTGTGCAATCAGTCAAATGAACTTAAATTACATGTGGCAATAAGTGGAAACATTCTCTCATATGCACAAATAGGATAAATCATAAAACCTGTGAGGATTGAGGGCAGCCAAAACAGCAGATTGGTTGAAACTTAACAACTCAGAATCAGGAATTAGAAAAAGGGTTGTACAGGTATGTATTTAACCGAGACTAGAAGAAAACACTTGTTAGAACTGCAACTAAAAAAAGAACATAATTGTTTTAATTTAAGTAAACCGCAAAAAGCCAATGCAACAGATATCCAAACCAAGAAATAGTTAACAGCAATCACGTCTTAAAATACTCCAACTCAAAACTCCTGAGGTTTTCTTCTTTCCTGCAATAATCTTCCTTTTATTAGCAGTCATGCAGTTCAAATAGCTAAGCACATGCAATGTAATTATTCGCCACGCACTTCTGATCAGGTTACTTTTTATTAGACTGCCATGAAGCTGAGGGTTAGGAAACTGAAGTTAGTACAGCTGCCTCTGTCTTGGTGATAAGAAGAGGAAAACTTAAAAATAATTGATACTACTCCTTGGTATCTTAAAAGGACTGAGTCTTCTTTCACTACAGGTTACCTCCTTCCTCAATCATTATTCTGAGATTCCATTCACCCACCAAACAATGCTACTCGGCTAAGAGAGTGGCATAGGCTATCATTAAGAAAACAAAACACATAATTACAAATCTTAGCCAAACCAATTTAGTATTTTTTCATTTTTCTGCATTCAGTTCTAGGGAGTTCTGCTGCAGACCATGGCTTTGGCAAGGTGCAACAGGAAAATAAGCGAGCACCTGTGCAGTTGTATAATTGTATAGTAGTTGTTCTCAACCTACTAGGTCAACAGCTCGGCCCACCATGAGTTACAGATACACCACATGCCTGTTAAATCATAAACAGACACATACATTCCAAAAGGAAGCAAAAAAAAGTAGCAAAGGCACTCAGTGTCAAGTATCACCATTTCACTACTACTCACAACAACCAGAAGGCTCTAACTTAAGGCTGCAGAGAACTGCCACATTTTACGGCAGAAATAAATATGCAAACCCATCTCGCATCGTGCCAATATTTGAGACCCTGTAGGAAGGGCAAAGAAAAGGTAAGCTTCTCTCACACACAACTGTTTGTGGAGGAATAATGATAAACTGCTTTATATCTGAAGATAACTTAGAACAGTAAGATCTGGCAACGTCCACCTTTCCTGCAGGAACAGCATAAGAAAGAGGCTTTCACAACAAATTGTTTTTACATGATTTCACCAACTCCACATTCCACAAAACCAAAAGTTTACACTATTTTTCCCAGATATAAACCCCTCTCCCATTTTCTTTTTCTGGGCATTTTCCCCACCACAACAGGGAAACAATGTATTTCTGCTAAGTTTTTATTTAATGCCTATTATCTTTGAAAAATGGTGCTCTGAAGTATCAGTCAAGTGGAAGAAACATAAAACCCAATTCAAGTCACCTTTGTTTCATGTTTGGTCATTGTATTTTACATCAACAGGATATTAACAACCAATTTAGTCTAATGCTCCTTTAAATAGAGACAACATCTACCCTCTAATTCTCAAATAGGGTATGTTAGACCATTATTATAATCAATACTGCAATCAGTGACTATCATACAGTTGCCAGGGACAACCACCATAAAGTTAAAATCAATTATCATTACTGGAATTCTTAGCACCTACCTTGCATAAAATACAAAAATCCTAGAAGAGTTAAAAACAGTCTTCTGGTATTACAATTACATTGCTTCTCAGAAACACACTCATTCAAGAGATAAATCACAATTCAAAAGACGCAAATGCCTATGTCATTCTGGAAGCTGACAGCATTAAAAACATCAAAAAGTGATCTTGCCAAGAATTTGAAATGGGAGAATTTTGAGGGGTACAGCATTAGGCCTATGAAAGTCTGAAATTAAAACAAGCTTTGCATTCAGCATAGAAGTATGGAATAGTAAAACATTAAAGTTCTACAAAGCTCTCACTTCTGTAGAAGTGAATGCAAGTGTTACTGCAATCAACCCTCATGTTTTAAGGCTCACTTCTCCAAGCTCCCTGCTATATAAGACAGGGTTATGCACCCTAGTATTTAGAAACAAAAAGTAACTCCACAATATGAAATCTGTATAAACAAGTTTCCTCAATGCCCCTTTCTTTGTACCACAATGGACAATAAACCCAAGAAAGCCTAAGTAGTATTTCAGTACAATACCTTCATCATCAATCCACTTGAGGGTAATTGGCTGTTCCTGTTGTAAATTACACATCTCATGCACTTCATCACAAAGTTCATCATAGCTCATTGACGCAACCAAGTTTGTTATCAGGATGTCCCTGCATGAGATGAAAACATAGGCTTTTATCAGAAAATATCTGCATTAGCCTGCATATTCCAACAATTCCATCTATGGACTCTAAGCTCCAAATTCATACTCAGAGAATCAGCATTCCTCATATAAAATGCTCCCACTAATGTAAATTAGTTGCCAAAAGTCCATAGGATTACATCCCACAGTGTTTAACTTTTGTAAAATACTTTTAGTATGGAGGAATTAACTGTGTTAATGATCTATCTTTAACACGTGTTCACTTATTACAACTATCAGCATTTCAAGTGTTGTAAAAACCATATGATTTTTTAAGAATTAAATTTTATCCAGGTACTTCTTCCATCAGGAGATAAGTAAATTCTCAGTTATTGTAAAATCCTTTTAAAATGCAGGTCTTTCCTCACATCCACTATATTGTTAGAGAGAAAGCTTTGAATAGGTGAATTCTCAAAAGGTATCATTACAAGAAAACTCAGATAAAATCTTACTCAAATTCTGCATCTTGTGCTCTAGCTTTATAGTGTTTTCAGAACATGAACCCAATACTGAACTCCACTAACGCAGACCATACAGTATGTTCAGGTATTTGTGAGAATAACTCTTGATATAATGAAAGCCCACACAGTACTGCCAAAGCAGGATAAAGATTAAAAAAAAATTATGCAAAACAAAAATCGGAGGATACAAACTAGATTTTCTCCTGTTTTCTAAATATTTTTCAAATGACAGCCTCAAGGAAACTAACTGATTAAACAAGTGCAGGAAGAAAGAGGAGATGTAGTCAAGTCATCTCAGTGCTTTCAAAACCTTCTATGAGATAATTAGGAAACAGTCTTGTAGTTAATGGCCACTGGCATATGTAATTCTTTCCCCTCTTAGATTAATACAGCAAATATATCAGAAGTTTCCCAACATGACTGAGATAGTTTTCCTATTTTCATACTGTGTGGCAAGTCATTTTAGAAAACCTGTTATATTACATATTTTGCTTGCTTATGCCTTTCAGCCAGAAGCCAAAAGGTACTACACTGAACTAAGAACCTTAAATTCTACAACTTACATTTTAAATGATATGCACTAATAACTTTGCATTTTGCCTTTGCTGACAAAAATTACAGTAAGCAAAGCTCTAAAACAATAATTTTAAAGATGTGTACTGAGTTTCAAATTCAGATTAAAAGCACTGCTACCTTTTCAAGTGTACCTTTAATCTACAATTTGTAAAGTTCTCAAAGAACAGCAGCTTAGTAATTCTTCATAACAACAATGGAAAAAGAAATACGTACGTTAACTGACAACTTGTAAAACCATATTATTGTACAATACTGAGAGCTGTCAGGTGAGGTTGAGTTTAAGAACAGCTCCCTGTCAAAAAAGTCATATTTTATGCACTTCTGAAAATAAGTGACCAAACCAGTTCTCAAAGTAGTATTTGAGGTCTGGTGCAATGCCTTGCACCAAGACAAAGTCACTAACAAATGCAGCTTATTACTTAATGCACTGCCACTGCAAGTTTTCATGAAATCAGGTAGCTATAGATCTGTGGTAACACTGGACAATGATGCTTTTACAAGTATCTAAATAATATTCAAAAACTGAGACTACACAGGAAGACGATACTCTACTATGCACACTGCAAACTCCAACTAAAGCTGACAAATACTAATCAGCCTTAAATTGTTAAAATTCTAAGAGATGGCACTGCCATTCTACAGGTAAATTAATAAACTTCATATTGGACAAAATACAGCTGAAGTATGCTAAACAGCACCTACTGCAGATACAAACATTAATGATATAATTATTATAAAATTATTATTATCTCAGTGAAGTCCATGTTCCTTTGAGATTTACTATGTTTAATTTTAATGTCTGTATAGCCACATTAGGCAATCAGCACACAGATAAGTGAAAATCATTCACTGTTTAACACTAAAGAATCCCACAGGACTCTTTTGTCAGGTATCTGAAATGGGACACTACAAAGTAACATGAAGAACTAATGACCAGTAAGTGATGTATGAGCAGCTACAGCAAGAGAATCATTCATATTGATAGATTAAACGTGTCACCATTTAGAACCAAGGTAACATACAGCAAACAATACTGCAAAACTGCTCCATTTAAATGAAGTGATTTCAAGTAACCACGTATAAACCAGATAAACTAAGTAACTGAAATAATGAAATGAAAATTACACGAGTTTACTTTCTTTTGCAATCTACTTGTGCAGTCATTTATACTGTGCTATGTTAGGAACTCTGTCACACCCAGAAACACGAATACCTAAGATACTAGGACTCCACAGCAATAGACTCAACATTCACGTGTTTTAAAACTTCCTCATGCTTAGATTTTTAATTGGGATCTCAAAATGATATATTGCACTACCATTTTAGTTCTTCAGCAGCTACCTGAATGAGCTTGTCCTTAAATCTGAAGTTGTCCAGCATCAAAGATTTCTTGCAGTTTGTCAAATTTGTTCAACTTTACTGGAGATACTGAGATAATCAGTTATACAGTCTATAATGCCCAAAATATATAGTTATTAATGAATACAAAATATAATATAATACAATATAATGCCCAGCTCTTAAGAGAATTTGATCGGCAGAACAAAAACAAAATTCACTGAGTTTGGAACTCTTGTTTTATGAATTGAGATATTAAAAACTTCATAGCTAGTGGAAGTTACTGAATATAGTGTTGCAGGAGAAACTACAGTAGTAGTTTATTGTAAAACATCATAATTACACGTGAATTCTAATAGTGACACAAGTATTATCAACTCCTCCACTTCTGCACAGACAAGTTCTACAGACATACTCCTTCCACTTTATATCAGCACTATCTGCCAGCAAACTATCCCAAATTGTTTATGCTAAGCTCTATTTGTGTTTATAGTGCCTTCCCCTACAGAGCGAAGGCAGCTCTCCTATGGCTGTTTCAGAGAAGCATGCATATCCATGCATCTGAGACAAGTGCAATACACAAGTATTTGAAGTTCAGGTGTTATTTTCAACTTAAGCTTATATATGACATGATTCAGTGGTGTATGATAAAATTATGGAGCAGAAAATAATTATTAGTAATGGCAAATATATGGTATAGATCTTTCACCCTGAGTTCATAAAGCAGTTTACATGCATCTATTAAATAACCAAAACAAAACCATGGTGCAGAAATTACTGAGCAGCAGTAACAATGAACCACAGCATGCAGTCCCATTTACTTTCATGCATGAATTTTTTGTAAAGTAAGTTTTACTTCAAGCAAAGTAGCAAATTTCTGTATTTTGTTAAGACATAAGTTTTGACATGAATTCTCACCACTAAAAGCTTATCTATGTTTTTACTAAGCAAGTTTTCATATGAAAATTTAACCTGGAGATAAATGAACTGTGAATTAACAGATTCTACTAGCCTTTCAATTTACAGGTGGCAAAATGAAGATAATAAAGATCAAATTACTAGGCCTAAGGAAAGAATTAAAAGGCAGCAGCACAGCTAGAAATTGAAGCCAGATAAAGACAGATACATTTTCATACTAATTTATGAGAAAACTGGCATTTACTAAATTAATACCACTGCTCTAGAATTCTAAACTCAGGACCTCAAAGTACTTGGCACTGACCTGGTAGACAAGTTTAACAAGAAAGCATTTTGCTTTCAATGAAATTTGGTGGAGTGACTTTCATAATTACATTACATTTAATTCAAAAAAGCATTTTTCTACACCACAATATAAGAACCACCACAGTAGTAGCAACATTTACTTATTTAGCAGTAAAACATCAGAAGAGATTACTTGGGTCACTTATCAAATGCCTGTAAATTCAGTTTAAATACTACAAATCAAGTCTAACGATTACTTAGGCAAAATATTTAAGTCTTCAAAAGACTTAAACTTACGCCTTGGAGGAAAAGAGCAGGGACCAAAGCAACATTAATTTACAAGGTCCCCACAGTGGCAGCAAACCAATCAGATTAAACATGTCTGAAAAAACAGATTTCATGCTGAAGTAATAAAGTCTTCCTGACTCTGACAACTGACTGAAGTTATTAAGGACCATGACTTTTTTTTTTTTATTAGTTTTAAATCAGAGCTGCAAAAATAAGCATTGTGAAGATAACTACAGCAGCTGTGTTAACATCTCATTGTCCTTCAAGCTGCATTAGTCAAATTACTGGGAGGAGATCAGTGGAATCAGCTATCAAAAATTAAAGGGCAAACTATACAAGACTTTTAATATTTATTCACAACAGGAAAACAAAGATTGTGGGTTTGATTTATTTATTTTAATTACTTAAAACCAAGTCTTCAAGGACCTTGCATAGGTTCATCTAAATTTACTGACAACTTGCGATCTAAGCAAAATGCCCTCATTTCTCATGCTTACCTAAATAATTCCAACAACAATTCCTCCTAAAATTTCTATAAGACAAACAAAAAAGGACAAAACCAATGGCATCCACTTATTTCAAGACTTACATATCTATCCACATAAACACCTCCTCTAATTTTCCAAGACAAAGTGCTGTAAGTTAAAATAGTATCTAAAAAGCCACACTAGAAAAAAGACCTAGCATTACATGTTTTGTCCCAAGGAGCACAGTCACAAATTGACATCTGTAAGTGGAAACCTGCACTTCATAATCTCATGCTAATTTCAGCAGTAACTTGTAGAGTTCATTTGTAGGATTTTTCATATCTTTATTCTAAGGTAGATATGATAAAATGTAATAACTGCATCTGGATGCAAGAGATGGATCCATACCCATCTGTGACCACAAACACTTGTAACAAAACAGAAATCAATAACCCATCAACCCAGAATAACTCTATGCCAGTTTTGCACATTTTCTCCCCTTTTGAGAGAAGAATAAACTATCAGCTCTCTTCCACAATCAGCATGCTGCAGGAGCCTGGATGGTGTTTTAATAGCCCAGAAGTTTACCTACCTGATCTGACACTAATTACAAATCCACCAACGCCCTGGTTACTCTATCACTAGGTCAGACTATGAACTCGTGCTCAATACGCTTCAAAATTAGACAGGACACAACTTAGAGGAGAAAACATGCTGACTTACCCACTATAGTGTGTTTTTACTCTGATGAAATCTTTGTTCAAATCAATTTTTGTGCCCATTCTGCTAGGCATGGTCTGTATTTAGCAGTCTAAATGAAGTTGGAAATATACAGAAATAAATTCTCTCAAGACAGATAGCTTGTTTAATTCTTAAGTGAACAGCTTCACATGTGAAATATGTGTTTCTCCTCCAGATGATTTTCAATCCAGCTGCATAGAAGGAAAACCAGAATACAGATGAATATACACACACTCTACTAAACAAGTTGTGTCAAACTTCATAAATACAAATAGCTTTACATAGAAGAGCAAGAAATCAAAAGGGAAACATACACAATCATTGACCTGCACAGAAATTAAATGAGGTCATTTAAAAACACCCTGTACTTCTGTAAAGCTAAGTTGTATCTCAAGCTTTTAAGGATTTTTTTTTTTTTTTTAATAAAACATCCAGTAGTTCCCTCTTGGCCAATAACACACCAAAGTAGTCTTTACTTATTCATCAACACAGCTTCTGGCTCTTTTCTTTCAAGGAGTATTTTAATTCAAAATAGGTTTTATATACATGTAAGACTGCTATCAATTACTGTTCATTGCAAATTTACCCAAGAAAAGCAGAAGAGCAACTCCAAAGGGCAACTGAAGTTATCTTTACGATTGGAGACAGACAAACATCCCGTTTATTCAAAGTCACCACCATCTTCTCTTATACATACATCCAGACAGCTCGCTAACCCCGCCGTCTGGGGAGCAGGGCCACAGGTACCAGGGACAGACCCCAAAATTCAGCCTCCCGACCCCTCTTCTCCTGTGGGGTCAGCAGGAACACGCAGACCCTTCCTGGCCCCCCCCCCCCCCCCCCCCCCCGCAGCGCCCGCCGGAGACACGGGCTGCGCCCAACGCGGGTGAGGAGCGATCGTGAGGTGACATTGTCACTCGGGACCGGGTCGCGCTCCGCGCCGGGACGGCGTGGGGCTGGGGGGAGCGGGGTCTCCCCGGCCTCCCCCCCCAACGCCTTCGGGACTGCCCCTTCCTCCTACCTTCTCCCACCGAGGGAGGTCCCGTCCCAGAAAGCTGGGACCCCACGGCTCCCGCTTCCCTCCCGCTCCTCGAACCCGCCGAAAGCGAGCGATTCTCTCCGCCCGGCGCCCGCGCCCCGGCGGTGCTCGGCTACACCTCCACGGCCTGAAGTTGCTCAAAGTCCCGCGAGGAAGTTTAGGATCAGACTTGCACTCCCACCGCCCTCCCTGCCGCCGGGTCCCCGGAGAAAAACGGCGGCGGGGAGCGGCGGGAGAAGCCGCCGACTCCCCCCCTCAGCCACCGACCCGCCGCCCCGCCTCAGCACCCCGCTGCCGCCGGCTCTACCGGCAACGGCGCCACCGCGCCGAACATGGCGGACTAAGAAGGTTAGCGCCCGCAGCCAATAAGGACACCTCCTACGCTACCTGCCAGCCAATAGCAAGCTCCGACTCACCTGGAGCCAATCCCCAAAAGGATCCCGCCCACCCACGACCAATCATAGGCCGGCAACCGTTACCTGGGGAGTAGGAGCGTCTCAACCAATCATGAAGCGAGCGAGGGAAGCGGTAGGAGAACACCTGCAGCCAATCAGAGGAAGAAGCGCCAAGCGCGCCGCTCCTCTCAGGGCGGCGGCGGCTGTGGTGGCAGGTGCGGACGGCAGGGACAGGCGGGCCGCCCTTCCTCCTCCTCCTCCTCCTCCTCCTCCTCCTCCTCCTCCTCCTCGTTCTCCCGCTACCCGCCTTGGCTCTGCCGGAGCGTTTCGGTACCTTGCCGTACCTGTCTAGCTCCTCCGCTCTCTCCGAGACGCGCTAGCGCTGTGAGGGAAGAAGGCCCCAGGCCTTGTGAGGAGAGGCGGCTGCCGGCGTTCCCGCGCTGGGGGGGG